AATTTGTGTTTTTTTTTTGTTTTCAATAAAGTAAAAAAATACAAAAAGTACATGTATTTTTTTAAAAACATACACAATAAATCCATGTTCTTAGAATTGCAGCAATCTGGCTGTAAAGCTTTTTAATGCTAACATAAGTAAAAGTTTTCCATATATTAAATTGTTTCTCGCACACATGCATACATATGCACGCACACACACATAGATATGTGTGTGCAAATATAGCTGCATTTATTTATCCTTGTATAAGTTGATGTTCATCGTTGTATACAATCTCAATATTGAATACGTGAAAACTTGTGTTTTTTTTTATTTTCTAACGAATGGAGGTGTGGGGGGGGGTGGGGGTTTGAAAACTTTCTTCTTTTTTGTCTATGTCTTCTTTGTCATGGAAATAATATTGAACTGAGGGAGGGAGAGAAAAGTTAACTTTTTCTGAAGAGAACGAATAAAAACGCATTGCAAACCAGTAAAGTGCTTAAAACTTTGTTCGAATTACAATATTTTTCTTTTGACTGCTCGGATGTGGCGGTCATCGAAGAAGTAGTTATGGTGATGTGGGTTCTCTTTTTTTTACAAAAGCTAAGCTCTCAGATTGCTTGGGGATTAGGTAAGGTAATATTTCGTTTTTTTTAGGATGGCCTAAAAATCTATGGCAATTGATTAGTATTAAAAGTCACACACAGCAAAGACATAAATTGGTAAAGACTAGACAAAATACATTCTGAGCAAATGGTTTGTGGCTATATTTTCTTAAATAACAGCTCATGACAGAAGCTCGTGAGCTGAACATATCGCAATATTCCATTGGGCAAATATTGAAAAATGAGTTCAGGGTTAAGCCATTGAAATTCCAAAAAGTGCAAGAACGTACACCTCAACAGGGTTGAGTTGGCCACCAGAACTCAAGCGCCGGCCATAGTGATGGTGTGGGCCGCCATAATAGCCGATGGTCACTCTCCGTTCGTATTAATCGACCGTGGCATCAGATTATATGCCGAATATTATGGCGAAAATGTTTTGGAGGGTGTATGAAAGCCTTGGGCACGCAAACATTGCACATTCCAACAAGACTCGGCACCATCGCACTCAGCAAGCGCCACCCAAGAATGGTTACAAAATGAGATTCCTCGCTTAATTTCCAGCGCACAGTGGCCACCAAAATCTCCGGATACCAATCCGTTGGACTATTGTGTCCGGAGTATTTTGGAAAGCAAGGTTGGCACTAAAAAATACCAAAGTGTCGATCACCTCAAGCTTGCACTTCGCCGGGAATGGGCCAAAATACCGCAGAGCAACATTCGGGCAGCGTGTGACGGTTTCATTGACCGCTTGGAGGCCATAAATTGTACCAAAGGTGACCAATTCGAACAAATCTAAACTTATTCTGAAATTTGGTGCTATTTCCGACATTTTTTGCTTTCATTCAATAAAATTTAAAAAAGTGTCAAAATTGTTGCGTTTGACTTTGTTGCAGTTTTTTTTATGTCACCCTGTATATGTATTAAGCATTTTTATTCTAAATCAGTCTAAAATTTTAAGTCGATTTATCGGTATCTGTGTTTGCTCACAAGTGGGCTAGTCTTCTTCCCGAGGTAGGCTATTAACATTTTTGCAATATTTTATTGACCGTTTATGGCACCTCCGTTTATGGCCCCTCCGTTTATGGCCCCTCCGTTTATGGCCCCTCCTACTAACGGCCGATGCTGTCGTGAGCCGCATGAATGCTGACAGGTTCTTTGATAACATACCTCTATAGCATCTTGCAAGACTTCACTTGAGATCTGAGAGATGTAGGTTTGACAGTAATGTTTAATTCTTTATCTGAGAGGGGCGGGTCGTCCCCTAACCTAAGGAACACTCTTCTGGCTGAGCCTCAGGGTTTTGTTTGCCCCAAGGAGAGCGCACAACTGTTTATTTTTTGGTTGTATACTTTAAAATACTATGTCACGCCTCATCTTTATTGGGTCGTCCCCTCCCGCATTTAAAATCAAGTGCGCTTCTTTCGAAACAATGTGGTTTTCTGATTTTGTTTTTTTTTTATTATCGTTCTCCATACATCATCGAAATGGTAAACGTTGCGAGGTCCACAATGGCAAAACCTCCCAATCATATTAATAACTAAGCCTGCAACTCGCTGAGGCGCATAGGTATCCGCGAGGCAAACGTTAGAATAGTTAGACACTGATGAAATAATTCGTATTTCCCTATCTATCCCTTCTTCCAATACCAAACTTAGCTCAGAAATACAGCTCAGAAATATCTTTGCCAAATTTTATCGAGATCGGTTCAGATTTGGATATAGTCCCCATATATATCTTTATCTGATTTCAAATTAATTTCGCACCAAATGGGCGAATATATACATAATACAAGTCCGAATTTAAGAGATACAAATGCTTCGGCATATTTATTCCTTTGAATTTTAAATTATAATTATAATCATAGCGTGTATGATTGAATTCTCCCATAAAAACTTTTAATTATTAAGTGGAGCTCAACTAAATTAGCAAAGTGGTGTAGGTTATCATAAAATCGGCCCCGCCCGACTTTAGGACTTTCTTTACTGTTTTTTTTAAATTTTATTGATTGAAAGCAAAAATGTCGGAAATAGCATCAAATTTTAGAATCAGTTTAGATTTGTTCGAATTGGTCAACTTTGTCACGAATTATGACCTTTAAACGGCCAATGAAACCGTCACACGCTGCCCGAATGTTGCTCTGCAGTAATTTGGTCCATTCCCGGCGAAGCGCTTGCTTGAGGTGACCGACACTCCACTACGGATTAGTGTCCGGAGATTTTGGTGGCCATTGTGCGCTGGAAATGAAGCCAGGAACCTTATTTTATAAAGTGGCGCGTGCTGAGTGCGCTGGTGCTGAGTCCTGTTGGAATGTCCAAGGTCTGCGACCAAAATGTTTGACTGCCCAAGGCTTTAATACACCCTCCAGAATATTCGGCATTAATTCTGATGCCACGGTCGATTAATACGAGTGGAGAGCGACCATCGGCTGTTATGGCGGCCCACAGCATCGCCATGGTCGGCGCTTGTGTTCTAGTGGCCAACCGAAGTGCACATTTTCAGCTGACCTCTTTGGCAAGTAAACACGATCATTTTGTTTGTTTACAAACTGCTGGACGACGAATGTTTTCTCATCGGAGAAAACCAAATTCGGCAGTTCACCACTTTCGTCCAAGCGAAGCAACTCTTTAGCTGTTTTGAGTTTATTTTCTTTCTGTTGCAGTGTTAGTTCTTGCACTTTTTGGAATTTCAATGGCTTTACCCCGAGCTCATTTTTAATTTTTGCGGAATGGAATATTACAATATGTTCAGCTCACGAGCCATTTTCGGCCTTTGCGACGCGGTTTTCGATCAAGTCTTACTAATTTTTCGAACCAATTCTACTGGTGTTGTTGGTGTTGTTCTTCCTTCCACTTACTTGACGTCGGGCTACGCTAACAGTATCACGGTAACGAGCGAGCTATTTTCGGCCTCTGTGACGCGGTTTTCGATCAAGTCGCTTCTTTACTTTTCGAACCATTTCTGCTGATGTTGCTGTTTTCTTCCGTCCACTTCCTTGACGTCGGGCTACGCTACCAGTATCACGGAACGAGCGACGAGACACAAATTTATTCACATTTAAATGCTGGAGTGATCTAACGATAGCCACTTGTGGTTTTCCAGCCAAATATAAAGAAATCACACTATCACGCTTGAATTCCATCACGAATAACATTTTTTCTGGAAAATTTTCACCAAAATGCTTTTGTACGCTTGTAAAAAATATATTGAGCTGTCATTGGAATAATTTTAACAGCTGTCGGACGAGTGGCTTAGAAATGACACCAGTTTAAGTTGGTTGCAGTTTTTTCATCTCACCCTGTAGTCTACGATCATATTTTACAAGGCATAGTAGAAGAATGCATACCCAAATCATATCCATTGAGATACACATCCTTTATGTCAACCTTAAACAGCTTTACCCAATTTTTAATTGAATTATCAAATCACCTCATATATTGTCCAATTAAATTTAACACATATTTTCAACATTTTTATTTTCCAAAAAAAAAAAAAAAAAAAAAAAAAAAAAAAAAAAAAAAAAATTAGGTTAGGTTCATGTTTTTCCCCAAAGGAAATAATATGTAAACAATAAACATATGCATATACTTGTATATGTGTGTGTGTGTTGAAAATAAATTAAAATAATAACCTTAGACAAAAACAAAACTTGTTGAACATAATCCAAACAATGCCATAGGAAATATTTTTATTATAAATAACAAATGTGTTTTTAAACAAAACTTTGATTAATAAAAATGTCAATTTATTTTGTTTTTCTCTCTTTTCTCCACTTTTTTTCACTCAACGACACCCACAATGTGGTAAACAAATAATTACAACGTCATCATCATCATCGTCGTGCAAAACATCCAAAACAAATACTAAAAAAATTCAACTTCGACAACTTTTGCATATCCTGTTCTGCATTGATGCTTTGGATGCAAAAAATGAAAATGAAAATAAAAACAAAACAAAAAAATAATAATATCATCGAACTTCAAAAACCAAAACTGACAAAAACAAAAAAACAAAAAAACAAAACCAACCAACTCGCTACCCGAATCAATGGAAATGGATTATTTGTATTCCACTGACATATGGATTACAAAATGCTGAACGAAAAACATGAATGAAACCACGACCAACAACAACAACAATAATAAAAAATAATAATAACAATAAAAACAACAATGACGGAAAACATGACTTACAATAATAATGCCAATGAAAATAACACCATTGTCTCCAAACACCACCACCACCACCACCACCACCGAAACCATCATCCACACACCGACTACAATAATGCGGGAACGACCACCCACATTCCCCGTCACATTTTCCAAACCATAAACGCACTCAACTTAATAACAATGACTGAAACAACAAAAAACACCATTATGTGTTTTTTCCATACACGGGGTGCTGGCACAGGAGTGGAAACATATAACTGTGTTAAAATCGACTACTTTTCCAAGGAAGGCTATCAGCCGGATCCGCATGATTCTGCCTCAGCTATTCCATGTAAGTATGCCAAATGTATAAACACTAACATACAACAAAAGAAAGACATTAGTACCACAGTGCTGCCGAATAATAATTGTGAAAATATTCTGGAACAAAATATAAAATTTTTAGGAAGTGCTCGGCACTTTGTTAGCAAAAGTTTTCCAATCGCTCAATAGTACTTTTAGTGTTTTGAAGTAGGGATTTCGATTTTAACTCAAGAGCGAGGCTCGTGTAGAATATCAAAACCAAGCTGCGAATGCTTAGTGTTATACCTTTTAGAATTTTCGCTCTCTTTGAAGCAAGTGTTACCCTCAGAAAAAACTTTAAATGTCTGTTGATTGTTTCCAATTTATTATACCCTACAACACTATGCGTTGGGGGTATTATAAGTTGATTGGGCCAAAAATTATGTGACACCTCGAAATATTGTTTTCCCACATAGGAAAGTATATATGGATCTTCCTATCTCGCCGAGCTGAGTCGATCTAGCTATGTATGTCCGTCCGTCCGTCTGTCCATCTGTCCATGTTAATTTGTAATCAAGCTACAGGTCACAATTTTGAACCGATCCTCACGAAATTGAAATTTGAGGTGGGGTTATGGTCGGAATAGAACCCTATTGTTTTTGGTGATGATCGCATGATATTTAGGGGTTGAAATGGACCAAAAACAGACAAATTTCCTGATTTTGCAGTTGCTCTATATGTCACAATTATGAACCAATCGACGCGAAAATTTACATGGAGTTAGAGTTTAGGAGTGGGCAGAAACCTACCAATTTGGTCGGCCATCGGACAATAATTAGCGGGTAAAATAGACCCTAAATTTCTGTAAGAAAATAGGAAAATTTCCACTAAAATAGGAAAATTTTCAAGCCCAGCCAAATCACAAATTCATTAAAAGATCACTTCTGACCATTACAGTGATGCTAATAGCCAAGAAATCGGATATATAGCAAAATAGATACAATATATATGTAAAAGAATTGATCTTATTTATTCTGCTTATAAATCAAGAACCGCTGAGCCGATTTTCACAATTCCCATCAATTCGGAATGGTCTTTTGCCAGAAAAGCAGAAAATCTAAAAAATCGGAAAAATATACCAATAAAAAAGTGAATATTTTTTGTTCCATTTTTTTTTTCAATTCTTGTCATATTTTTTATCGCATGCGATTTTTTCAATTTGAGTAAAAATTTTGAATTGTAAATTTTCTAAATGTTTACACCCTTCAACACTTCGTTTTGAGGGTATTATATGCATGTCGCAATTATCGTCCGATCCTCACGAAATTTGGCATGGGGGTAGGGTTGGGGTTCAGAATTTAAGCCTATTGTTCTTAAGATGTACATTTAGAGGTGCAAATGGACTAAAAAATTTTAATTTTTTCTAATTTTGTAGTCGCTCTATAGGCCATAATTGAAACTAATCGTCATGGAATTTCTCATCGGAAGAGAGTTAAGGACAGGAAAGAAGTCTAGCATTTTGGATGACCATTGGATTACATTTAGCTGCAAAATGGACCACAACTTTTGCCAAATTCTTCGGGCCAAAAAAAAACTAAGGGTAACCTTTGGGCGGGCCTCTTTGATATTATTTAAAAAACGAAATCTTCCAAAATGGATAAATGGATATAAGGGGACTTCGAACATATTGTAGTGTTGTAGGGTATCACATGGTCGGTCCCGCGCTACTATAGCCTTTGCTTACTTGTTTTTTTAAGTACTTTATGTAGCTTTTAAGTACGAATTTACGGTTTTTAAAACTCTAGCTTAATACAATGCTCAATAATTGAATTTCAAAAGAGGATTCATAAATCACTCAAATTTTCCAAATCTTAACTTTTAAAGGTCGCTTAATAAACACAGCAGAACTTTTTTGTGCGTTCAGCCATATGGCTAAAGAGGTTACATGACATTTAATAAGACCAAAGCGGACAAAATCCGTTTAAAAACAATTGGAGTCGAACTAGAGGGTTCCGGACATGTCTGTCTGTCTGGTGCGCACGATAACTCTCGAAGGGAGTATCCGATTTGATCCAAATTTGGTACATCGTCATATTATTATCAAACTTAGATCGAGTTCGGAGATGCGCAATATCGGTCCACTCCTTCTAGTGCCTCCTCCACAAAAGATCGACATTTTCAAAAAATATATTTTCTGCACAGAAAAAGGAAACGATAATCCAACTTTGCAAATCCTAATATTTGCATCAGTGCTAGGTCAGGTGCGAAAATGGACAATATCGCTCCACTCCATCAGAGGGTCCAAATTTTGAATAATTACAACTCTTATAAAATGTGATGTCAGAATCCGATTGTCTTCAAACTTCACAAATCCTAATAATTTTATTAACCCCAGATCTGGTGTTAAGATGAAATACATCGGTAACTCCTTCTGGTACCTTCCCCACAACAGGTCGAAATTTTCAAGAAAAAAATATTTTCTGCACAGAAAGAGAAGCAATAATCCGATTTTGCTCCAACTTTGTAAATCATAATATTTGCATCAGTGCTAAGTCAGGTGCGAAAATGGACAATATCGGTTAACTCCATAAGGTACCTACACCACAAATGATCAAAATTTTGAATAATTAAAACTCTCATAAAATGTGATGTAAGAGTCCGAGTCTTCAAATTTCACACATCCCAAAATTTATATGAACCCAAGGTCTGGTGTTAAGTTGGAATATATCCGTCCGAATGTATCCGTGATTATAAAATCCGAAATAAGCATCAGGTTCTCTTTCCTCTCCCACAAAGGCTCAACATTTTGAATATCTATGAAGCTCATAAAAAGCGAAATTAACCTCCGATTCCTTTCCAGACTTGGTACATGTCAATATTTCTATCAACACAAGTTCTGTTATAAAGATGGTAGAGATCGGGTCGTTCTGTTACCTGCCTCTCATAAGGTTCTATATTTCGAAAACACTCAAAGAAAACGAAATAAGCATGCAACTCTCTTCATATGTTACACATACAAACATTTTTGCTAATACAAGATCTGATGTGAAGATGATATATATCTCCGAACCACTTCTGTATTATTAAGGGAATACTCCGTTCGACTATATCTGGTACCTCACGCACATATCAACATTTTCTAAAAAATATCACATATCTCGCAGTAACCAATATAGTCCAAACCTGGCACGTCGAAATATTTATATCATGTTTATTAAGGTTCGATACGAAATGGACAATCTTGATCTATTCCTTCGGAATCTACTCCATAGAGGGTCGAACATTTGAATAATCATAACAGAAGTCAAAATATATTTAAATAATCGAACATTGGCGAAGGGTATACATCTGTCGGCAAAACCGACTGATATTTTCTAACTTAATAATAAAATCAACACTTAACAAGTAAGCAAAGGCTACAGTCGTGCGGGGCCGACTATGTTAAACCCTACAACACTACACATGTCCCCTTATGTCCAAATCCATATTGGAAGATTTCTCTTTTGAAATTAGGATTTTGACTAGAGACATTTGCCCAACATTTATGCACTCCGTCGGGCTGTTAGTTGTTGTAGTCCATTTTACAGCTAAATATAATCCAATGGTCATCCAAAATGCTAGAATTCTTCCCTGTCCTTAACTCTCTTCACAGGCGTGTCGATTGCCGTCAATTGTGTGAACGGAAAAAACATTTCTGTTTTTGGTTAATTTGAACCCCTTAATATTTTGCAATCATCTCCAAAAGCAAGAAGCCCCTCTGTATCTCCAAATTTAGACTCATCTATATGATTTGCTTGTCTACGATATTTGGCTATATTCGTCAACGAAATCAGCATAAAAAGCCAGAAGTTCGGCTTTTGTGTATTTCAGATATCGCCTGTAAATAATGCTGGTATTTTTTCACACAAAATGAGTGGTACATTGTACCCGCTGTCCTGAACTCTTTGTCCTTTGGTTTCTATTTGTGACCTTTATAACGGCTGTAAAATCAGGAAAATTTTTAGTTGTTGGTCCATTTCAACTCCTAATATATTGCGGACATCTTTGAAAACAGTAGGCATAGCCCTTCTGAGCCCAACCCTACTCTTGTGAAAATGTTTAGTGAGGATCGGACGATATTTGCAATACCTATATAATATCCCCAACCTGTGTTGTAAGGTGAAAAAATATTATAAGTCAAATTGAAAAAATCGCAAAAAAAATAAAAAAAAAATGTCACAAAATACTACAAAATCTATAAAAACTTCATTATTGGCATATTTTTCTTCGATTTTTTTAGATTTTATACTTTTATGTCAAGAGGACATTCTGAATTGACAAAATTTGTCAAAATCGGTCCAGCCATTCTTGAGATAGAAACATTCTAACTAACATCCCCTTCTTTTGTATATATGTACACATTGTATATATTTCGCTATATATAACCGATATATTTACTATCGACATCTACATAACGATCAGAATTGACCTGTTCGTCTATTTTTGCTTTCGCCGGGATTAAAAATATTCGCGGTTTAATGGAAAATTTGACTTTGACTATCAAAATTGGAAGGCTTCTGCCCAGCCCTAAGTTCTAGCTCCATGCTAACTTCCGCTTCGATTGGTCCATAATTACGACATGTAGAGCAACTGCAAAATCAGGAAATTTTTCAGTTTTTGGTCCATTTCAACCCCTAAATATTATGCGATCATCTCCAAAAGCAATAGGGTTCTATTCTGATCATAACCCTACCTCCATTTTCAATTTCGTGAGGATCGGACTATAATTGCGACCTGTAAAGTGATTACAAATTAACATGGACAGACGGACGGACATACATAGCTAGATCGACTCAGCTTGGCGAGATAGGAAGATCCATATATACTTTCCTATGTGGGAAATCAATATTTCTAGGTGCTACAAAATTTTTGGCCCAATCAAACTTATAATACCCCCAACACATAGTGTTGTAGGGTATAATCAACATTTTGAAGTTTGAAATTTCTTATAAAATTGAAAATTCTTATAACTTAGAAACACTGTGAAACTTGTAAACAACCTGTCAGACA